GTTGACAATTTCCATTTACATCTCCAGCCTATGGTTAAATCAACAGCTTATTCAACCTTGGCTTGTCAAGACCCACAGCTGAACTCAATCATCCATTTGGCAAGTCTTCTTGCGAGATGATTGCTAAATAGTTATTGATGAACTTCTCCCTTTTGTCCTGTACAAACATAGTTATACTAATCAGTAATCTCTGCATCAAGATGTTACTATGGGAAGACCAGTTCACTGATTGTTTGTCTGGTCACTAGGCACGGAACTTTGGCTACGATTAAACCTTCACTGTGGGAAAACTCGAACTAATCGAAAATTGCTATGTCACGCCGGTACACTTAAGGCAGGTTTCCGAAAAGAACAGCAATCCCAATATGCTGGCTTGAGTTACGCACTTCGAAAGCTAAAGATGCAAGATATCGACGTATGAGTGCTTTTTGTATGCATGGGGAGATCCCTGATTGTTGTGCTTCCATGTCTGTAAGGCTTTTCCAGGTGCTTACCGTACAGACCTCTGATCACTACAAAAACAGGAGTCCACAACACCGTTGTAGCATTGTTTAGTGGTCATCATGTGCTGAGTGTAAACATTTTTAAAAAAGGTTTTACACCCCAGTTCGACCGACGAAGGAATGGACATGACTTCCTGTAACTCATGCACAGACTGCAGATGAACTAAACTCACGACAAGCATGTAAAGGTTTGCTGGTACAGGGAGCAGATATCAAGCACCAACCCGCTGAATGCAAAATTTTACAAGCAGCCACATATTGAGATAATTTTATTTCAATAATATCAATCGTCCAGCTTCGATGTATTACCAGACTAGCCCATCGTTTTAATAGCATAAGTATGACTGTTCAGGACTAAGACTTGGTAGTTTCATACTAGTCAGAATGTCAATACACACAGGACTCAACAACTGATACACGTACCTGATATTTTTGGTTATCCTGAGATAATGTTAATACCAAGCGTTGAACAATGCACCGATTACCCAGAGCTAATCGCACAGGAGTGATCAATCCAGAAAAATGTACCTTGGAACAAAAAAGAAATGAGGAGTTACAGAGTGTTCATTGTTAGTAATACTGAAGGAAGCAGAACGGCAACTCTAACCACAGTAACAGGGGTATTGGTAATGGTAACTATAACAATGGTAAATGCAACACTAAGAATACACTGACTACACTTGATACGATAATTCGTGCATAGCAGAATGTGTTGGTAATTTAAGTATGACTGAGAATGGAAGTGGGGATTGGACAGGCTTGTAGGTGCATGACGTCTGTAGTTCCAGTACACATACCGATACCTGAAATTATAGTAGTCGGTCACGAACTGCTATGAACGCTACTGCAGAAATTTATTGCTCTTTTGACAAATATACTTAGGAATCTAATGTAACGGTGTTAAGAATACAGCCATACCGGCATTTATCTGGCAATACGACTTGGCGTTTCATATACGATTGTATGAGGTAGCGAAGTGATGGACCAATGTTAATTAATTGATAAAAGGTTGTAAAACACATGGAACAGTAATCGAAATGATGGTGCGTAAGGAAGTAGAAGCTCATTTAAAGTGTCTCCGTGTAAAAGCGATAGCGACAGATGATTAGACATACCCACTACTACTCACCTAGATTCAAAATCGGCTCGACAACACTAGGAATCACGGAAGAATCGAAGTATGCAAACAACGATATGGTTTATTGTAAATATGTGGTTGATGATTGATACTTCTGCGAGATCTGTTGCAGTTGTTACTCATGTGTGAGGCTTAGTGATCCCGGTTGCACATACGGGCATGTGTAAGCACAAGAACTCAATGAACTAACTTGATCTGAAACCACCACTGGTACCAGAGTATTCAATAACAGAATATTTTCAAAAACCTCCAGATCAAACTTACATAAACCAATAGTAGAATTCTAGACAGACAAGAAGGGTTTGGTATGGGGATCTCCGGCAAGAGCGCAGGCGCGCAACACCAGAGATGAACGACGAGACCTAAAAACCGAAAAACCACAAATCCAGAGATGATGCCGGAACTGTTTTGGTATCTTTGTTTTTTGGTTTGTGTTTCTTTGTTTCTTCTTGGTTGTACAGGATGTTTGTATACGCGCCAATTACGGATAGTAATCGTAACACCAATACCAAAAGACAAAAAAAACAAGACTAAAAAATCAAAGGATTAAAAAGATAAAAGACCAAAACAATAAGGCGGTTCCGCTATTCTCTCTGTGGCTTTTTTGATTTTGGTCTCAGGCTGGGGTTTTGAAACCACACGAATACGCACCAACAAAGACACACAAATATCAATGCAGTTCCGGCATTCTCTGCAGATCTTTGTTGTGTGTGTGTTTTTTTGTTTTCGGCTGAGTGGTTCAAGCCAGCCGAAAGCGGGGCTTGAATCCCGAACCCACGACAAAGGTATGAACGGGGGGTGGTCTGTCAAGGGGGGGTGACTCTGTATGTATATATATATATATATATGAATATAGGTATGTATGTGTATATATATATATATATACATATATATATATATACATGTATATGTGTGTATATTGTATGTATAGATATGTATGTATATATCTATATATATATATATGTATGTATGTATGTATGTATGTATGTATGTATGTATGTATGTATGTATGTATGTATGTATGTATAAACCTTTTTGCGCATAATGGCATAAGTATGTATTAACCCACATGCACAGACTACATGCGAACGCATGCACATATGCGCGCCTAGCAGGTGCAATGCAGCATGGCACACGTATGGTGCTTATGCACAGAAGAAAAGTCTGCATGTGTGTGTGTGTTTGTGTATATCCATATATATATATATATATATATATTTCTCTATATATATACATATACATTTGTATATATATATATAATTATATATAAATGCATAAACACACACAACAAAAAGTGTCGATGTACATGATGTACATGGATGACGACCTGACCGGGCCTCTGACCTTCCAAGGCTCCTTCGGAGCACTGCTCACATGCCTGCGCCAATCATCCGCATGTAGGGTTTAGGCTTTGGGTTGAGAGTTTTGGGATCTAAATTTAGGGCTTCGAACTCAAGATTGGGGTTTCGGGCATGGGGTGGAGTCGAGGCTGTAGGATTAAGGAATAGGGCTTGGGGTTTGCTCGGCAGGTCTAAGCGCATGGTAGCAGGAAGACATGCCCTTTCCAAGACCACCCGATCAGGATACTCACAGCAAGCCAATACCGGAGAGAGCCAAAGCCAAGGCCGCAAAGAAGACCAATAGGATGACAACAAAAACCCCAAAACCCTAAACCCTACACCCCACTGCGTCGGCATGTTGGCACAAGGCTGTTCATATGGGTAGTTCTCTATATTAGGATCCCTTGTAGACCCACACACCCTTATAAGAAGGACCCTCAAAGGGATCCTGATTTAGAGAACTAGCCATCTTACAACCGAAATCGTGCTCTTATAGCAACCCTATAGATACTTTC